CAGTACTCAACATTTGAAGTGGATAAAAATAAAATAAAAATAAAAAAGTTAATCAAAGTTGTCCTAAGACAAGAACGCATTTAGGTTTTAGGACAACTTTGATGAAAGGTTTTGATCCACTTCAAATGTTGACTACTGTAGTGTTTATAGAGTATATATAGTAGATTTTGTGAGCATGTCACATTTAGTTCATTAGATTTTTCTTTTTAAACAAAATAATAGCAAGTGAAATCAGTATCAACAAAATGTATCTTTGCAACGCAGAGGAAACACAGCTGCATCTGAAGTGGGATAGATATATTTACCCACCGTTTAATGCAGCTCTGAGGGACATGGCATGCTTTAACCTGCAGTTACAAATGCATAAATAATGTTTTCATACAAAAAAAGTTGAATACTGATATTTGAAATTATTTTAAAAAATACTTTAAATGTGAAATTAAAACCGCCAGTAGGTGGAAGCAAGTCACTGATAATAAGTGAGTCATTGCGATTGAACCGAATCATTTAAACGGTTGATTCATTCATTCATTTAATGCAGCTCTGAGGGACATGAATGCATTTAACCTGCAGTTACAAATGCATAAATAATGTTTTGATATTTTAAACATAAACCATTAAAAAGTGATGTTTGAAATTATTTAAAAAATGAAAAGTTACCTTAAATGTGAAATTAAAACCGCCAGTAGGTGGCAGCAAGTCACTGTTAATAAGCGAGTCATTGCGACTGAACCGAATCATTTAAACGGTTGATTCATTCAGGAACGAAACACCGTCACGTTTCTCAGAAACGCGAAACAGCGCTGTGGCTGTGTTTGGAATTATTTCTGTTGGCGAAACAGAACAAAAACAGGCAATATGGTGTTTAAAAACGTAAGTCTCTTAATATTAACTTTTTTTTTTGGAGCAAAAAACAGCGCTTGATCTTCGTGCGATATTGTTTAACTTTATGAAATGATATAAATATATACATTTTCTGCCCCCATATCCTGAATTTTCTGATCACTCTTCATGCATTTTAATACTGAATCATGCAGTGAAAGAACGCATACGCGCATTAGTCTAACCTAGTCTAATGTATGCGTGCACTCTGTAGGTGTGTTTTGTTTGATTTTCGCAATATACTCGATAATGTCAAAACGCACATCGTTAAAACAACAATTACGATAGTATCGCAAACTATATATAATCACACACCCCTATAACAAAGGCTATATCACAAATAAAGGCAGTTATTATTGGTTTTGGTATTGACATTTTCAAGTTAGGCTACTTGTCCGATTGGGCAAGTACATTTGTCTTTCACTTGCCCGTACAAAATATTCACAAGCGTTAATGTCGAGCCCTGACTGGTGTATATCACCAGCACAATGACCACATCAATATATCACACAGCCCTAAAGACAAGCCACAAAACACGACAATCATTTTGTCTTCACACGGTGTAGACTGTAGGCACTACAGTCTCTTTCTCCGTCTCAGAACGAGGCCATCTTGGCAGCTCTCTTTCAGACGGATTTGGATTTGCTCGAATCCTGGAGAAAATCCCAGGACCACAACTCTCTCTCTTCAATCCTGTTACCCATTAACTCCGTCAACCTGTAATGATTTACAAATCTAAAGCTATTTATACCAGCGGGACGAGCTGTAGCGTGGGAGTGGATGTGATCTCCGTATGAGGATGAATGGAGATTAGACATTAGAATCAGACCGAATGTAACCCATCTAACTCCATTCTTGCATTAACGATTCTCGCTCTGAAGAATATTTGGTCTATATATTGCGTTAACTATATACTTAAAACAATATTGTGAGTATTACTCTCTCAGCATATTTTATGTTTTATATTTTTATATTTATTTTCCCAAATTCATTTTTTTTCCCCACACAAATTCTCCAGGTTTTTCCAGGTTCTGTTTTATTTTTTCGATTTTAATTACCATTTTTTAAAGGGTTATATTAATGATAGTAATAAAAAACATGTCTAATTAATTGAAATCATACAATTTAGAAACAATTTATTAAAAGTTTACCAAAAACTAAATGTTTAGGGCCGTATGAAATTTGCTTTAATTTTTTTCAAAATTCTTTTTTTCCCCCCAAATTACATTTTATTTTTTTCTTGATTTCGTTTTAATGGTTTAGTTTAATATGAATAATCAAAAAGCATGCCTAATAAATTCAATTCATAAAACTTTTACAATTTAAAAACTTTTTTTACATTTTACAATAAACGGCACTATGAAATGTTTTATTTTTTCAGAAATTCTATATGTTGTCTGTTTAAATTTTTCTAGATTTATGACTTAAAAAAATACTAATTTATTTATTTATTTTAAGGTAATTAAATGAAGGCATAAATCAATTTATTTAATATTTTAATATGTAATTATTAAAAAAACGTAAAAATTCCTTTTATTTTTTGGGAAACAAAATGTTGCGTTATACTGCAAATTCCATTTTTATTACCAGATTCCACGATTGTGTCCACGTTTTATGCATTGCAGACAATGCAATCCCATAATGCACTGCGATGAGCTCAGTGGAAAAAAAAAAAAAGATGAATACGGAGAAGTATCAACCAAAAAAAAAAAGATATGTTTCCCAAAATCAGAAAATACAAAAGAAAAGCCTGATTCTCTGTAAGCCTGCAGTGATGAAGATGCTGCACATCCTACAAAAACATACATAAAAATAATTTTATTATGCAAAATAAGACAAGAACTCTCGTCTAATTCCTGTCTGGTTTCCTAACGAATGGTGTTAAAAACTCACCAGCTCTATGAATATTTAGAAAGGAGCTGTACCGTAGAGTGAAACCGCTTCAGCCGTAAATGTCCTGCTATCAAATGTTGTAAATATTGTATAAATAAACGGTCTATATATTGGCATTTTATCAGCCAGTCAACTATCCAGATATCAGCATTCGTCAAAACCAGTCAAGACAGACTGATTGTCAACTCTGTGAAAGAAGAATTATTATAATCAAAATTCTCATCGTAATTCATCGTCTGGAAAACAGAAGTGGGTGCGGAATCGAATGATGACAAAGTAGGCCTGGGCGATAAAACGGTATCGATATTTATCGACGGTACACCTTCTTCGATATCGATAGAAAACAGGTCACGAATTTGTGGAGGTTTATTCCGTTTCATTGCGTCACGTATGTTTTTAAATGCAGTCTGTGTGATCGGCGCTTCACCTATACTGCATGTCTTTGGATTATGGGGGAAACCGGAGCACCCGGAGGAAACCAACGCAGACACGGGGAGAACATGCAAACTCCACACAGAAAGGCATCCTGGCTCCGCCGGGACTCGAATCAGGAACCTTCTTGCTGTGAGGCAACAGTGCTACCCACTGAGCCACCGTGCCGCCCACTAAAAATTCTGTAAAAATTCTGCTGATTACTTGAAACTGTAAACTTTTGCACATTATTTGTAAAGCTTTGAATGGACTAGCTCCTCAGAACTTTGGACGATCACGTTCACTGCAGTAATAAAATTCTTGGCCAACTGATAATACCCAGAATACCAAAACCATCTGTGGACTATCCATCCATTTTATTACGCAATTTACGAAATTATATTTGATTTTTATGAGTTAATTTAGATGTAATGCACGTTTTTATAGTTACTTGCTAAATGCGCTGCATTATTTTGCTCATTGCGCCCTCCTGTGGCCTCGGGAGACAATTAGACCTATACAATAAAGACCTATTTAATCTGCATATAAAACATTAGAAATTAGATATTCGTTTAATTTGTATTGTGTTTGTTAAAACTAAAAATATTTGTTGTTTGTCTCAATAAATTGTGTTAACTATAAATACAGTGGTTAAATTTAAATTTTTTTTTTCTATTGCTCTGTTTTAAAAAAGGTTATAAAAATGTCAATAATTATTGATACCGAACGATATGAAACATTATATCGTAGATAGATTTTTTTAGCTATACCGCCCAGCCCTATGACAAAAATTCACTATTTTGAGTAAACTACCACTTTAAGGTCTGTGGGCAATTCAAGTACATATTTCACAAGTCATATTTAAAAAAATAACCAAACAAATAAATAAAAAAATGTTGAAAAAAAAATTAAAATAAACCATACTTTGCTTAAAAATAAAAACCAAGCCATTTTTACAGAAAAAAAAAAGACTCTAAATGAACATTTATATATATATATATATATATACAGCAGTCAGCATTTGAAGTGGATCAAAAAAGTGAATCAAAGTAAGACAAGACCAGGTATTGTTTTGGTTTTAGCCAGGACAACTTTGATTAAAGGATATTTTACACATTAATATACAATAATTTATTACTCAGTTCATTACATTTGAGTGATGCTGTCACAGGATTCAGAAGCTAAGTCACTGAGATCAACAAGTTTGAGAACACGACTCAAAGTCTGTTTTAGTGAATGTGTGCTTCTTAGTAAAGTGTAACAGAGAAGTGCACTATCTAGTGTTCACTAGTGAGGCCGGATCGGCCCCTCCCCCACCCTCCTCAGCAAGCGCCTGATTAAAGGATATTTTACACATTAATATACAATAATTTATTACTCAGTTCATTACATTTGAGTGATGCTGTCACAGGATTCAGAAGCTAAGTCACTGAGATCAACAAGTTTGAGAACACGACTCAAAGTCTGTTTTAGTGAATGTGTGCTTCTTAGTAAAGTGTAACAGAGAAGTGCACTATCTAGTGTTCACTAGTGAGGCCGGATCGGCCCCTCCCCCACCCTCCTCAGCATGCGCCGCCGAAGCTAACGGCTAATTTAAGCGTGTTTTACCACAAAAACAGCAAGAACAGAGCTCTATCGAGTGCACACTAATCTCCGAGGGCCTCGACAAACACAAGACACCGCGGAAATAAGACGTTAGCGGCGTTAAAAAGTTCATTTAATCACGAGTTTCTCCACATGAAATTTTCCAAACACTTCAGGAGACTAATCCACACTGGAGAAGCTCAAACGAGGGAAATATCGCGTATTCTTACCGTCAGGAATCAAGCTGCCGCTTCTCTTTCACTTCCACCGGGAATAACACCCTTCAACTTCAGTGTGCGAGCCGCGACTTCGCGCCCATCTTCGGTCGGATTTCCCCTCAGCGCTCGGCGGTAGTCCGTTAAAAGACCGACGAGGAACAACAAGCCAGGTCTCGTCTGCCAAAGCTAACGTTTAAGTGTGGATCCTGTGTGTTTTTAGGCAAGTTTCCTGTGTTTCTCACTGAAATGGAGCGTCGGAAGACTGTAGCAGCAGCGCACGCACTTACTATAGCAGAGCGATGCGGGCGGTGACCAATACCTAGAGAGCGCCCTACCTAGGCTACTACACTAGCGTACTACTCTTACGCATTCTGTTGTGTATAAAATGTGTACCGCGCACACATTAAATAATAGTAAGACGTTTTAGTGAAAATTGAATTAAAAATTGAAAAATTATAAATTTAGTATTTTAGACAATAAAGCATTTTATGCTTAAAAATAAAAACCAAGCCATTTTTACAGAAAAAAAAAAGACTCTAAATGAACATTTATATATATATATATATATATACAGCAGTCAGCATTTGAAGTGGATCAAAAAAGTGAATCAAAGTAAGACAAGACCAGGTATTGTTTTGGTTTTAGCCAGGACAACTTTGATTAAAGGATATTTTACACATTAATATACAATAATTTATTACTCAGTTCATTACATTTGAGTGATGCTGTCACAGGATTCAGAAGCTAAGTCACTGAGATCAACAAGTTTGAGAACACGACTCAAAGTCTGTTTTAGTGAATGTGTGCTTCTTAGTAAAGTGTAACAGAGAAGTGCACTATCTAGTGTTCACTAGTGAGGCCGGATCGGCCCCTCCCCCACCCTCCTCAGCATGCGCCGCCGAAGCTAACGGCTAATTTAAGCGCGTTTTACCACAAAAACAGCAAGAACAGAGCTCTATCGAGTGCACACTAATCTCCGAGGGCCTCGACAAACACAAGACACCGCGGAAATAAGACGTTAGCGGCGTTAAAAAGTTCATTTAATCACGAGTTTCTCCACATGAAATTTTCCAAACACTTCAGGAGACTAATCCACACTGGAGAAGCTCAAACGAGGGAAATATTGCGTATTCTTACCGTCAGGAATCAAGCTGCCGCTTCTCTTTCACTTCCACCGGGAATAACACCCTTCAACTTCAGTGTGCGAGCCGCGACTTCGCGCCCATCTTCGGTCGGATTTCCCCTCAGCGCTCGGCGGTAGTCCGTTAAAAGACCGACGAGGAACAACAAGCCAGGTCTCGTCTGCCAAAGCTAACGTTTAAGTGTGGATCCTGTGTGTTTTTAGGCAAGTTTCCTGTGTTTCTCACTGAAATGGAGCGTCGGAAGACTGTAGCAGCAGCGCACGCACTTACTATAGCAGAGCGATGCGGGCGGTGACCAATACCTAGAGAGCGCCCTACCTAGGCTACTACACTAGCGTACTATTACGCATTCTGCTGTGTATAAAATGTGTACCGCGCACACATTAAATAATAGTAAGACGTTTTAGTGAAAATTGAATTAAAAATGGAAAAATTATAAATTTAGTATTTTAGACGATAAAGCATTTTATACACAATTAAGTGTTGTATTTAACATTTTATGTAGTAAGAGTTTTTTATATACAAAACCGAATTAAAATGCTAAATTACATTTATTTTAAATGTGTCACTAGTAAGACTTTTGTAAGACATTTTATGGAAAATTTAATAAAAATGGCAAGATTGCATATTTATTTTAGACAGTTTATTTGTATTTTATGCACAATTCAATTAAAATGGAAAAGTGTACTGTAAATGTTAAATAGTATGGCTTTTGTGTACAACATTGAATTCAAATTCTAAATAATATTTTTTTTAAATGTTAAATAGTAAGACTTTTGTAAGACATTTTTATTTAATTTAATTAAAGATGGCAAATATATATATTTATTTTTCTACAAAGTAAAGCATTTTATACACAGTTAAAATGTAAAAGTATATTTTAAATTTTAAGTAGTAAGGCTTTTTTATACAAAATTGAATTAAATGCAAAAAATTTGCATTTTAAATGTTTAAATAGTAAAACTTTTAAATATATATATATATAAATTGAAAATCTATATTTTATTAATAAACATAAACTTTACATATGGCTCAAGTCCCTTCTTTAAGGGATTTTTTTCGCCTGTTTTATTGTCCAGCAGGTGAAAATTGTGCATCTGATTATTTAGTAAACTACTATTTATTCATGTATAATCAATTCACAAATTGAAAATTAATAAAATATACAGTTCTATAACTATAACGTGATTTAGCAATTTTGAACTAAATCAAAATGAAGTTTTTCCTGACTATTTCATTGTTTGAATAAAGACGCCTCCGTGCTGTCTATGAAGGGCGCTCACTAGGTATTGTAACACAGCCGTGGAGAATGGGGGAGGGGAGAGTTTTGCGCGTTGTGACCCACAATGCAAAAATGAGCAGCTGACCTTAAACCTGCTTATTCAACAGCACGAAATCGGAACACATCCACTGTGAAATAACACCGCTATCACCATTCTGTGCCACTGACTTCTACATACTTTCTAGCATATATGTGTACAGTAACAGAAGCGTGCTCAGGTTTTTGGAACGCAATCCCTAATAGGTTCTATGCTAGTAACCTTAAACTAACATTCTCATGACATTTGACTGTTTTTTTTTTTTTTTGCACTGTTAATTAATGATTCGCTTGTTTGTTTACGAGCCAGTTACTGTCGTTCTAGGAGTGTACTTTTTGCATTAAAACGTAACCAAAGTTTTTTGCGTGACAACCTAATTGCAACGTATACACAACGTTACGCAACATTATATTCTATTCAGGCTCAGTGCATTGTGACACATGCACAACCAATCAGATCATATTTGATATTTAATACACGGTTATATAATTTAGCTAAATTTTTGACTCATGTGATTTCATCGTGGGCGGAGCTTATAAGTGCGACATCGTAACCATGTGACCAATAAATGCCGTCATAAATCCCAGATATATGTGATTTATCGCTTGTTGCTTTATCTTGTTGGGACATGGTGTAATGATTATTTTTAGGGTTTATTATTTTATAATACAATACCTTCTTAATAAACTACTGTACTGTTGCTAGAACATTCCAGGAGCAAAATAATGTGAAACAACATAAAGAAAATGTCAGTTTTGAACCGAATCAATCCTGAATGAACATTAATATAATAATATGTTTTCATAATTATTCATAACATTCATTTTCTAACTTATCATCAGTTTTTTTTTTTTTTCTAACTTATCATCAGTAGATAACGCTTCTCTGGTTGTTATGACGCAATGTTACCGCAGACTGGTCTCCCCTCCCCCACTGCTGTTTTTTTGCGCATGGAAGGTCACACAGCGTCTGATTAATTCTGCTTTCGCTCTGCACAGTCATTCACATTTGGAACGTAAATAAGGAGTTAACATCGTTACAGGCGTACGTTAGTGTGACACGTTCCTCTGAGAGCCGTAAAGACTTGAGTATCCACGCAGCTACTTACAGAAACCTTTATTTAGATTGGAATAAGTTAATATATAAATAGATTAGAATATGTATAAAAAATAAATTGAAGTGTGTACATAATAAACACAATAACTAAATAATACATATACCAGTACATTGGTAAAATGAGTAGAATTCAGAATGAATCCAGTCTTATTTCAGATTCTGAATGTTCTGTTTATATTAACCTTAAACTTCAAATGTTCACTTCTATTCATAATTATTTTATTATTGCTTAAAAAAAACCTTCAATACCATTCCAAATGAACACTTTTATTTATCAAGGATGCATTAAACTGATCAAAAAGTGACATTTATAATGTTACAAAGATTTCTATTTCTGATAAATGCTGTTCTTTTGAACTTTCTGTTCATCTGTGAATCCTGGAAAATAAAATGCATCACAGTTTGCACATAAATATTGTGCAGCACGACTGTTTTCAACATTGATGATAATCAGAAATGTTTCTTATATATCTGCATATTATACTGATTTCTGAAGATCATGTGACACTGAAGACTGGAGTAATGATGCTGAAAATACAGAAATAAATTACATTTTAACAGATATTCACACAGAAAACAGCTGTTTTACATTCTAATAATATTTCACAATTATTACAGTATTTTTAATCAAACAAATGCATCCTTGCTGAGCAGAAGAGATATTCTTTTTTTAAACAACATTAAAAAATCTTTAAAATATATGAATGTGTTGCAACTTGTTGTTTAATGTACAAAAGCAAAGCCAGTTGTGCTGGATAGACCTGTATCTAGTATTCGTGTCAGTTCTCAAGCGCTGTTAAATATGTATTTCATAGTTGTTTGTGCTGTTGTGTGTATTCACTGCAAAGATCGCAATATCTTGCATCACGGAGCACAAACCCTTGTACTATGATCTCTGCTTCTGAGTTTGTGTCAAAATGCAAAAAGAAAAAAAATGCCATAATATGCTACTACTTGTATTCTGAAGTCCCATGATGCTTTATGTGAAATTTACATCATTACTCACCAATAATCTTCATTTTGCATAAACTTGTGCGTGTCACATTTGGTTATGAAACACATGAACACGTGAAGCCATTCGCATCTGTGCTCTATTTTCTTAATTTAAACACAAAATGCAGATGCGATTTCAGAGCTTCAGCAGAGGAAGATACAGGGCTATTTTTACTAGGAGCACACAGAAAATTTAGGGGAACACCTTAAATCAGCCTGCAATGCAATCATTCATATATTTCCCAATTTTAACTGTATTACTGACCAATGCTTTGATAATAAATAGACTTAACTCATACAGATTACAATGTGCAGTATTCTTTTAAATTCAGAAAGACATGACAAATATATATATGTATATATATATATGATAAAATTACTATGGTTTTGCATTAATAAGTGCAGTTGCTAATAATATTACATGTTAATTTCTTGTTTATTTCATGTTTATACACATTTGACAGTAAAGCACTAAGCTTGAGTTGGGAAGCTTACAAAATATATTTTATTAACAACAGTAACGTGCAAAATCTAATTTTTATCTTGAATATATATATATATATTGTACTCTTATTAGATGTACCATTATTCTTCTAGTCTTATATGAAACTGACCAACACGTGATTGTGTGATTTAGTCGCAGATTGAAGAAAATATTGTTTTTCAAAGCACTTTGTGACGTTTTTTTTACTTCTTACACAAAAAAGAGCAAAAATCTGATTTCTTGAGGATTTGATAATTTTATAATAGTGATTTTATAAGTATTTTATCATTTCA